CTAAAATAATTCTACCATAAACAAATATTTTCATATGATTCTAAACTCTTGATTAATCCTGGGTATGATGATACGCTAAATCTGGTAGCAAGGCCTCTGATCAAATGATTGGAGATTTTGAGGAGCGTGGAACCACCTTTCTATTGCCGTTGTTCCCTGGTTCACCATACTCGGGGTGGTTGCACCTGTTAGGGCCCCAGCTATGGGAAAATAGTGAACACTCAAACAAAAACAAAATACTATGAAATATAAAATTACATTTATATATAGTAAAAATACCAGCAATACATTTTTATATAGTAACAGTAAAATTACCAACATTGCATTTTATAGAAAAATGTCGAACAATATATTTATCTGCAGTTGAATTCATAAAATTGTGTTTAAATTTCGGCATTAAATAACCCATAGAGGTGCATATGCTGCTAAACAAAATCAACCGACCAAATAACCAACATGAACTTCTTTATGGCATGAAACCATATAATATGTTACAATTTCTTAAAGAAATCACACTGTATCAAAAAAATGCAACTTTAACAAAAATACAACGTAACACACCGCCTCTAGTAATCATGTCCACACAAACATGTATATGCAAAAAAGCTGAGTATCATTTACCATATATTCAACTGTGAAAGCAGAATACCTTATATATTTATTACTTCAAATCTCCCAAGAAAATTAAATTTGGGCATTAAATGACCCATAAGAAGTCGATATGCCGTTAAACAAACAAATCAATCAAAATCGTAATGTAAATATCACTGTCCATTTCTTTTCCATGCAATGTTACCTTTAAATCAATTTTAACGGCTTCTTTTTCGTAATGGCGTCTGCGAAGAAGTCTTTTTGATTAGTTTAGCTCAATAGACCCATTTTCTAATGTCCTTTATCCTTATCAAATTTCTCAGATTTTCTTTCGTTTTTATTTCTCTTTCTTTTTTTTTATTAATCTTAACTAGCGATTTAATTCTATTCTATGTATATAGTTTCTTTTCCCATCTTCATTCTTCTTCTTCTTCTTCGTCGTCTTCTTCTTCTTCTTCTTCTTCTTCTTCCTCCTCCTCCTCTTCTTCTTCTTCCTCCTTTTCTTCTTCTTCTTCTTCGTCTTCTTCTTCTTCTTCTTCTTCATTCTTTTTTTTCTCAGTCGTCTTCCCTTTGTGACGCTCCCTTCGTAATCAATTCTAAGATTTTTTTCATATCCGGTCTCATCTGCCATATTTAATTGTTCTCCCCAAAGGTGTTTCATTTTTATGACAGTCCACAACGCATGTTCCTCGGCATTACCGCAGATGAAAAAGAAAAAGTTGCCCCTATCCCCCGTACATCAACCATTCCACTCCCTTACCAACGGCTGGTGTTCGGATGTCTTTGCAACAAGAAAAACGATGGTACGTTTATAATCCCCTCCCGCCCCCTGTAAAAGTCGCTTCACATGATAACACTAATGGCTTGTTATTAAATGCGACATCTCCGCCATGGCCGACAAAAGCAACAGTAAAAGCAGAAGTTGCAATGAATATAACAACGGTTGCTTTTAAATAAAAAAAAAATGTCCTTAGAAAATGAGACACAACAGTAAAAGGCCCGACATTCAGCTGCTTCTAGTCTTGACTAGTGTCGCTTATTGTCATGACAACAACTAAATGCTGTCTTAAGTTCTTTCTTATTCGTAAAGTCTACGCTCAGTGTGCCGACCCTGCTGTTGAAACTTACCGTATAGACTCGTATAACGCACGATCTCGCGTATCGTGCGACCCCCAAATTTTCACTTATAAAAAATGATTTATCTTGTGTATAATGCGAGTCTTTTTTTTTAGAGACAATATAAACTCTTTTCCTCTATCTCTTTATCCCATCTTCTAGTTAAATAAGTTAAAAAAGTAAAAGGAAATGATAAGAGTATCGTTATTAAAGCTATAATCGTTGCTTTAACACGTACGAAAACAGCTAAACCCCTCATAACCGTGAACAATGGGAAAATAAATATTCATTGTTTGTATTTTATAATACGATACAGTGTAACCCGGATATAAGAGAGTTGTCGGGATCGGAGAAGAAGTCTCTTATATCCAGGTTTCTCTTATATCCGGGTTTGTTCTATTTTATATACATTAACACAGGCTCTAATTTTGGACCAGAGAAGATCTCTCTTATACCCGGGTTTCTCTTATATCCGGGTCTCTTATATCAGGGTTACACTGTACTAATATGTGAATATTACCTGAAGTATTATTGGATACAGTTAAGTAAAACATCTGTTATATCAAAATCATGTTTATTTTGAATACAACTGTACTTTTTGACTACAGTAAATGGATATATAGTTTGGTCAACGGTGTAGCCAGGCCAGCAGTATATACGCTAATTTTGTATCTCGTGTATAATGTGACCCCCTTAAAATTAGTTTCAAAATTAGGTCTTCAAATGTCGCCTGACACTTGAGTATATACGGTAAATCATTTTTTTTAAAGTTTCGCACATTATTTCCTACAATGTCGATTTGAACAGAATCTCACCTTTCACGGATTTGTTATAAAAATCAAACGACATAAAATACACAGAACATTATCAAAGCCCGTCTTTCTTCGATTCCAATTAATCAAATTTACCAATTACGCAATTCTTGCAATATGTTTCGTTACTTTCATTATCATGTTAGGGAAATCGATAAGCTATTGTGTGCCAAATCGAAAATTCTTTGATTTTGATAGTATCGAGCTGTAATCACGTTTTTGGTCGTGTTATTTCTTTCTCTGGGATGTTCATGTAGTGTAGTGGTTATTGGCACAGAAAGTGACATTAGAGAGTAAAGTTCAACTTTCAGCCGAGCCATTTGCCTTCGATTTTAGGACAAATAATACAACAGTATGAATACATGTCTTCTTCTAACATCGGTGCGACAGCGAAAAACATTCGGTTAGCAATCATTCTAGAAGGTTAACTCTGAATTCGAAGACTGTGGCGGGAAATAAACCTCTTAAAATGTACCTTCTACTAGATTGATTGGTTAATTCTGTTTAGCGGCACATCAACCTCCATGGCAAAAACAATGTCGAAATCCAAATATTTTGAACACAATTTTATTGCTTCAACTAAATATATTTTGATAAACTATGATTGAAAATTTGAATAGAGATAGTGATGGCACATATCCGAAATCCATCATAAAAAAATTCAGGATGTGAAATTGCAGAACTGGGCACCAAACCGTTAATCGTTGATTAACGAATTTGTCATTTTTGTTGGCTTCGCGCAAATGAATCCTGGAGATATCGTTCATATTTTGTAGGCTACAGAATCCCAAATAACTAACCAAATATAACGGAAACAACATCATTTGTCTCATTCGCTTATCAAATTCTTCATATATTTTATACGGAGAAACTTTATAGTAATCATGTGTCTTTTTTAAGCGTTTTCCTTATACATTATTAAAGTATTTATTTTCGATTTACTTAGTTATTTCGTTCGTCAATAATTACTGTCTTGGTCATTTACCGTTTTCCCAATCATTCTATCCTTAATAAATCAAGAAAATAAATAAACAAATAAATAAAAAAGAAAAACAAAAAAAAACAATTGCGAGTCTGACGAATATGAATCATTTCGACGCTAAATTGCTGAGATGAAATCGCATCCAATACACACAGTCACACAAAAAAGCACTTTCTTTATTAAGCGTCTTATCTGAATAGATCCCCAAACAATGAAGCTGCAAAGTTTCGTAGAAATCGTAGTAATCTCCTAATAGAAAAAAATTCTCTGTTTTACTCTCCTGGGGCCAGGGTATCCATGATGCGTTTAAGGATGCTGATGACATAGGTATACAAAGTTGCGATAAAAATGAGCTTGCATAAATTATCAACGTTCTCTACAATGTCTTCAAAGAATTATGATTTAACAGTAAATTTTTCCAAACGATAAACTATGATTGGAAAATGGAACGGAAGTAGTGAAGGAACATATCCGAACTCCATAAAAAAAAATCAGGATGTGAAATTGCAGAGCTGAGCATCTGTTGTGGATTCCGGGATGAAATCCGGTAACAATAAATAACAAACACCAGGAATGAATATATGAAAATAATGTATTAACGTAATAATACAAACTGGTAAAGCAGGTTAGTAGTTCTAGGAATACGGGTTAGTAGCAAAATATCTATACAGTCTTTGGTATTGAAGTATCGCTGTATGACTTCTTACTGAGTCTACGTGCTCGCTCAGTGTGACTCCTACAACGCTGTTACCTCACCCTCACTCTTCCGGTTGCCTTTCAACCTTTTACTCTGTCACTCTGGACTCGACTCTTCGGTCTTGCTCTCTCGGGTCTTCACGTAGCCGTAGTATATGTATATACTGGGTGAGTCCATTTTTGTAAAATGGGGTGGACCCCTCAACAGCACAAAACCGTTAATAGTTGATTAACGAAGTTGTCATTTTCGTTGGCGTTTTCACTTTGGGACTCATCATCGGTGGGTACCGTTAATCAAAAGGCAAACTTCGTTAACCGTCGTTAGCCAAAAAAATAACTTTGTTAAACATTGATCAGTTACCTCTTTAAAATATAAGGTAAGTTATCGATTAACGTAAATGTTAAGTTTTAACCCTGTTCCTACTGAAGTCTAGTGGCACTGGCAGTTTTAACTTCGAATACATCAACATGATTCAAGTTCTTGAGATGCCATCATGACGTTCATATTTGGCTTGGGGGTTGAATCGTTGGCGAAAATGTTAACTTCGCTAATTAAAACAATTATCGGATAAACGTTTTGGTACACAGCCCAAGATTTTACTATAAAATAGTTTTTGTTGTTGTTGTTGTTTGAGCCCATGGGATCCTAGAAGAAGGAACTTGGGAACAACAACAATTATGAAGTGGTTCCACGCTCCTCTAAACCTTCAACCTTCCATTTAGAAGCCTTGCTGCCGGATGTAGTTTATCGTCCTACCCAGGAGTGACGGCAACTAAAGTAGAAAGGAAGAGCAACTCATAGGGATTGAATAACTGGTTCCCCTATGATCACCGAAGTTAAGCAACGTCGAACCGGATCAGTACTTAAATGGGTGACCGTTTAAGAATATCAGGTACTGTGAGTTTGGATATGCGAATGATGCAATAGATAACGGCTAGGAATTCATAATCGGAGAGCCGTGTTCAAATTTCAGTTCGTGTTCGTTATATTCGCTTACGAGCAAATGACATTCGTCAAAGTAAGAATTCGCCTATTCTACCCCCCCAACACCCACAGCTATAGGTCAATTAGTAAAACTTGTAACTCTAAATCATTGATATCATCAAAAAATGTTCTTACAATCTAAAAATATTTTCTGGCTTTTTGTAGACTAGGTTACATTTGTCATTTGTGTACATTTATGGCTACATTGTTTTCAACCTTTAACGTGTGTAGAAGTGAGTTAACTGAGAAATGTCTCGTTTAACATTGGCAGGATATTCATATACTGAACAGGCAGATGTGATGTGTTATACGGCCGCGTGAATGTTTACTGTTTATCATCGCGTTCCTGAGACAGGAGAAGAGGGGCCATAAATTATGGAACGAAGAAGACCAAGAAACGTTCATACGCCTGATCACGAAGAAAATATTCTACAGGCTTTTGGAAACAATACAGATATCAGCACGCGACAAGTGGCAATTGCATGTCGTACAGGAACGCGCCCACAAAATTTGTAAAAGTATTTTATATACACCATATATATATATATATATATATATATATATAAAACAACGGAATGCAGATTTTATTGTAGTTACAATATCATGTTTGTCATTGTAACGTTACTCTTAATGATGATCTTAGAAAAGATCTGACGTACATGGCTTGAAAACAACGACTGAACATTTATCATATATATTAATAAGTTAAGAATTACTTACACACCGGCCACCACTGTTTCAACACACACACACACACACACACACACACACACACACACACAATGCAACAATTAATGCCTAAATATACTGTCAGCAATTTAGAGCGTTTGAACCAAGCATTGAGGAAAAAAAGACCTGCTCTAGTAAATCGAAAAAAAGTGATGTTTCATCAGGACAATGCGCGACCCAACACAGTAAGACTCACGTCACAAAAGATCGAAGAATTTGGTTGGGAGAAAATTCCTCATCCACCTTATTCTCCAGATCTTGCTCCTTCAGACTACCATTTGTTTCGTAGCTTACAGAATCATTTGGAAGAAACAGCTTTTGTAACACAAGAAGAGGTTAAAACTGACTTTTGTGAGTTCTTCGAATCAAAGCCAAAAGAATTTTAAAGTCATGGAATTAGTAAGCTTGTTAATAGATGGAAGGAAGTCATAGATAATCAGGGAAAATACCTTGTTGATTGAATCTGTAATCAAATGTAACATTTGGTCACTTGTTTTCTTTATTCAAAATTCGGACAGAACTTATGTGATGACCTGATATATATATATATATATATATATATATATATATATATATATATATATATATATATATATATATATATATATATATATATATATATATATATATATATATATATATATAGAGAGAGAGAGAGAGAGAGAGAGAGAGAGATAATAGTGGGCACTGAGGTCAACCTCATGCCCACTTTTTATTTTCAGACCCCATCCTTATATTGAGCACTTTTATCCAGACCATAAAATGCTTATTTATTCATATATATATATATATATATATATATATATATATATATATATATATATAAGATTGACACAATTTTATCAGATATGCATACATACATATATATATATATATATATATATATATATGTTATAATTATTTAAAAAAATATGATTCCATCTTTTAAGAATTACCATGTTTAAAAAATAAATTAAAATTTCCAAATCAATTATAGAAATTAAATTAAATTAAAGTACCTCGTTCTGTTCCATTTTCAAGCGAATATTGGAATTCAAAGCGAAAGAATCATATTTAAAAAAATAATTATAATCTAGGCTCTACTTGTATCGAGCACTGTTTTTTAAACATAAAAACAAAAATACTAAAAAACTTCCGATCATCAATCTAACTGTTCTTTCCTATTTTATCAATATATTTGCGCGCGCACACACAAACACACATACACACACACACATGCACATATATATATATATATATATATATGCTTTGTTGTTGTAAGTTTGCGATCTTTCAGGAAAATATCCAATAGTATTTGACACTTTTAAGGTGTTATTGTATCTGCTACTTTTTCATTGGCATTTTTTTTCAACTCCTGAAGTGTTTCTTATTTTCTATTGTAAATCACATTCAATATATTTCTATCCAAAAGAAAATTTAGATGTGTGATATCAAGTTTCAAATCAGTTGTCCCCCTCCCCGAAGCCATAAATATGTTATTTTTCTCAGTCAAAAAAAACTCTCTAATGACACGTGATTAATTTGCAGGTGTATCGTCCTGCTGAAAAAAAATCTTTGGCAAATTCCTTGATAAAATCGTGGTAAAAAGCAAATGTTTAAGTAGTTTTCATTTTCTATAATGTTTACAGCATAGAAAGAACGTCCGTAAGCACTTCCTGAGGACAATCCCATCCAGTCATTTATCTTTGGGTTAGAGCGATATTAACTAACATTTTTTTTTTTTTGTGAGCATTTTCTTCTATCTGCAGTTTCCTTTCAGAAATTGCGTGAACATATCGTAGTCTTTCTAAAGAATATTCTAAGAAACAAACGGATAATACAGATAAGAAAACTAGTTGATTCATCAATCATGATCATTAAAAGAGAAACAGATAAATTCATTGTGAAGGTACCGGGTTGGCAGTTTGCTGGCTGCTGCTCTGAATGATCGTTAGGAGCCCGAACACTTTGGTAGCGCTTAGAAAGGCCGCTCTGATCAGGAGTCGCGTAATATCAGGATATGTGTTGTGCCATGTCATGCATGGATATTTGTCACTGTATGTATTTTTAGTCGGCAATCCTGAGGCCACACTAGGCTCTATTCATAGCCATGATCTAGCTGGTTTGTATAATCACTGACGACAGATTATTGTTGCCTTTTCTCTTTCTCCTCAAAACGAATATCATAAAAAATACAACAAAAAGAAAATACAACTTAACCAGTAAAGAGAATCTCATTTGCCTCACCTCAAACTTTCTTTCACTAATATTCGCGAGTATCCATTCCAAATTTTGCATCGTAGAATCTTTCCTCTTGGAACAGTTGCCAGATAACTTTGCACTCTTTGAAACTTACTTAACTTCTTCTATTGCTACCAATGAACAGTCAACTCCAGTGAGCGAAATAAAGGGTTCAGTTCGACATTCCAGTGCACATCGGGAAAGTCGGAGCGTACAACGGAATTTTCTTTGCCCTAGATAAATATGGCGACAAAGATGAGGACAATAGTCCGAATAGCTTAAATCTTTTACCTAATCCCCTCATCCCAGGAAATATATGTTGGACATAATTGTTAAGACATTAAACTTTTCCACTGCCAACTATCTTTATGACTTTAAATTATGAACGTTTTTAAACAAAAAAGGGTCTGATGCTGCCGGTGTTAAGACTTTATGTCTTATTCCTCCTATTTCCTCGCTTTTCGTCTGGAAATCGCAACACTGCCCTTTTGTAATTCTGACCATTCTGGTAGATGGTTGAAATTTCGTTCCAAACCCTTTATTTAAACATGAAACCCCTAGTTACACTAAACCTCTTTCCGTTACCATCATGCCATGATTGGCATTCTGGCCATCGAGATTTTCTCCGTGACGTCCTGACTATCTTCAAATTTGAAACTGAAATCATTGCTACTTAGGTTTCTTCTTGGGTCAACTTGGAATCCATTGGACGCTTTCATCCCTTTGGATGAAACACCAAGTGAAACCTCAATCTTCTCCATGGTTCAAACCAGCATGGAACAATTATTTTGGACACACTAGTGTGACAGCTTTAGTCACAACAAACGTCTGTTCCTTGCTGGTCGCAGTAAATACAAGCGAGTCAATCGAAGGAGCAAAGTCCATGTGTGTCGAGAGAATGAAGACTCAGTCTTTTTACCCTTACCCATTTCATTGTCCGCAAAAACTTTATGTTTTTTTTATCGGATACGCTATTAGTGTAAAATAAATATTAAAACCAAATTTAATTTAAAATTTCAGGTATTTTATAATTCCTTCCAATCCGTAATTACAGAAACCCCGTAAACATCACTTTAGTTTGTTAAAACCTAAAGGCTGAAACACATTACACATATTTTTTTACGCTTTTTCATTGATTTTCCTATAGATATACCGTTTTGACACAGGTTTCTTCACACACAAACATATGGACGCTTTCATCCCTTTTCGGAAAACACCAAGTGAAACCTCAATCTTCTCCATGGTTCACACCAGCATGGAACAATTATTTTTGTCTACACTAGTGTGACAGCTTTAGTCACAACAAACGTCTGTTCCTTGCTGATCGCAGTAAATACAAGCGAGTCCTTGAAGGAACAAAGTCCGTGTGTGTCGAGAGAATGAAGCACAGTCTTACTCATTTCATAGTGTCTTTTTTTTCTTTGTTTTTTTTTTTATCGGATACGCTATTAGTGTAAAATAAATATTAAAACCAAATTTAATTTAAAATTTCAGGTATTTTATAATTCCTTCGCATGCGTAATTACATCAACGTAAACATCACTTTAGTTTGTTAAAAACCTAAAGGACGAAACGCGTTACACATATTTTTTTACACTTTTTCATTGATTTTCCTATAGATATACCGTTTTGACACAAACACACACACCAACATATATATATATATATATATATATACGCACCAACATGTACACGTGTGTACAATCCTCTAGAGAATATATCGAAACGAGAATGGCTTTGAAATATCTGCCGAAAACGAGTTTAGAAACTGCCTGATATATTGAATCAAGCGTTAATAAAAATGACCTTTGAAATGGGTAAAGTTTTATTTTTATTTTTATTCTTTTTTCTATTTTATCGACTCACGCAATTCGCCTGCAGTCATTCTGACCAGACTAGGAGAGAGAAGTAATTTGGACATTTTATTTTTCCTCTAGTGAAAAATTAAAACGCTTATAGCAGGAGCG